ATTGGCACTTTTATATTCTGGAGACTCCATATCTGAAAATTTTTAGACTTTAAAAAGTTACTGTAGCTACAGTAACTCACACAAATCACACACTGCTTTTTCGAGAGACATCGTTGTCTTCCGTTTGGAAAATTCCTTCGCGAATCACCCAGTGTTGAAGCGCCTGAGGCGTATATACATAAAAAACTAAAAACCGGTGTATTTATATAAACTAAAGCCCAGAAGGTTCAAATTCGGATGAGCGTAAACCAACCACAAATTACAACCATAATTTCTCAACTTTGGCCAAATATATCTCGGTTCCTGTAAAAGATATTCAGAAATTTTGAAAACGAAAATGTTTGTCTTGATATCAGAAGCATTTCATCAGTTGACCGGGTGTCGTTCTATTAGAGTTTTACGGTATTTTTGTAGTCTTTCAGATTAAATTTACAGCAATTTTAAGTATCAAAATCGATGCAACATGCCCGTTCATCCACTTTTTGCTTCTTTTCTTACTAATGACGTCACCGAGGTCAGCAATAAATTGGCAACAGGCCAACAGACCATCCTCTGCGTCTCTCTTCCCCTCCCACTCTCTCGCTCTCTTCTGTCCCTTATCTGATGGAGAGAGAACAACGAACCCTTCTCCTCTTCTTCTTCTTCCTCTTCCTCTTTTTTCTTTTTTCCTCCAAATCGAAAATATTTTTTCTTACGCGTCTGTGTCTCTTTTACACCCTCGCTACACTCGTCACCTTCCCATTGCTACCCCTCTAACGTTCTGCGTTTCTCCCTCTTTCCTACTATTTCTCGCCTTTTCCTTTTTTTTTAAATTTATTGGGGGGTTTCTTTTTGGTTTTTCGAGGTTTTCTGAGCTGGAAATTTCAATTTTTTGTGTTGAAATTAGGCTAGATAGGATCGTATAGAGGTTTTCTTTGGTATTTGTTAAATTTTATGGGTATGAAAGCCCATTTTCCAATTTTAATAGCAAAATTTTGAATATTCTTGTTTGAAATGCTGGAATTTTTTTCGAGATTTTTCCTTGAAGAAATAGATTTTCGGAGGGTTTTTGACCTTTTTTTTTACAGGGAAAGTTGTGATTTTTCACCAGAATTTAGGGGTTACTTTTGAATTGTAGAAAAGTATTCAATTTTAAAACTTTTAGGAATTTTTAGATTCTTAAAAAATATTTTCAGATTTTCGAATTTTCCAAATTTCGAAATTTTGTGAATTTCTGAATTTCTGAATTCCTGAGTTTCTGAATTTCTGAATTTCTGACTTTCTGACTTTCTGAATTTTTGAATTTTTGAATTTCTGAATTTCTGAATTTCTGAATTTCTGAATTTCTGAATTTCTGAATTTCTGAATTTCTGAATTTCTGAATTTCTGAATTTCTGAATTTCTGAATTTCTGAATTTCTGAATTTCTGATTTTTTGAATTTCTGAATTTCTGAATTTCTGAATTTCTGAATTTCTGAATTTTTGAATTTTTGAATTTTTGAATTTCTGAATTTCTGAATTTCTGAATTTCTGAATTTCTGAATTTTTGAATTTTTGAATTTCTGAATTTCTGAATTTCTGAATTTTTGAATTTTTGAATTTCTGAATTTTTGACTTTTCTGACTCAAATTTTCTGATTTTCCCAATTTTCCCTACTAATTTCTTCTTTTTCCAGCTAAAAATGTCAGCTGGACCCTCTTCTTCGGGTCCACCGTCTCAAAAACGACGTCTCGATTGCTCATTGTCCAATTCTCTAGAAGATTCTTCGGCCATCAAGAAGCTATTTGACTTCTCGAAGAACGACACGGATTTGTATGATGGAATTGTGAAAGTCGAGGGACAACTGTTCTATGTTATGAAAGGGGTAAGATTTTTTTTTTTTGAAATTGAAAAAATCATTGAAAAATTGGTCTGAAATTCATGAAAAATAGTCCAGAAATTATGAAAAATAGTACCAAATCCATGGAAAATAGTACCAAGTTCATGAAAAATGGTACCAAATCCACGAAAAATGGTACTCAAACCTTGAAAAGTAGCTCAAAATCCATGAAAAATAGCTCAAAAATCATGAAAAATAGCATTAAAATCATGAAAAATAGCCTGAAATCCATAAAAAATAGCTCAAAAATCATGAAAAATAGCATTAAAATCATGAAAAATAGCCTGAAATCCATAAAAAATAGCTCAAAAATCATGAAAAATAGCATTAAAATCATGAAAAATAGCATAACAATCATGAAAAATAGTCTGAAATCCATGAAAAATAGCAAAAAAATCATGAAAAATAGCATTAAAATCATGGAAAGCAGCTTAAAGGGGGACTCCAACCAAAAATTAAATGTGTAAAAATTTATCTATTTTCCGAATATTATTGCGAAAAAATTCAAAAAAAAAATCCGAAATCCCCGAAAAACGACGTTGAAAAGGAAGAAAATTCAAAAAAGATGCCGCCGGGGGACGAGGATTTTCAGTGAGAAACCTAGGCCACGGCACCTGACAGCTTTTTTTTCAAGTCGCCGACAGTGGTTTTTTACGTTTTTTACCTGCCGGACATGAAATTGACAAAAATCCGG